CTCCCTTTGGACATGCCCAGTCAAGGCAACTTAGATTGTTTCATATATTTTGTGATGTGGGGAGTGTATCCGTGCTATAAAGAAGGTTAATCTTTACTATGTGGATGTATTAAGCTAGGGCAAATTGAAAAATATATTCTAAAGAGGACAAAAAATTAGTGGTCAATTCAAGAAATAACCAGCAGACAAGAATGGTAACACAACAAATACAAGAGAAAGCTTGGGGAGTTTCAACTTTTATCTTGGTATGCATAATGAGGTAAAGGCAATATGTGCCAGGGATTGTCATCAATGCTACCCTTGGCACACCCACTCACAGCAACTTCAATTGTTGAAAAAAATTGTAACATGGATTTGGGGAGTTGGTACTAACTATGGCAAGTGTGTCCTTATTGTAGAGAATTACTGTAAAGAATGACTATTGTTACTATATGTATCAGATTTTGTTTGAACTATTAAAAGATTACTTGCTGGGCTTTCATAAGGAGGTAATAAAGGAGTTTAAAAGGTATTTTAGATGCTCTTTAAACCCTGGGTGAGTTACGACTTTAAGTCATAATAGTAAATGTTCATAGTACCAAATTGCACCAGATCAAGATGATACTAGAACCATTGATAATAGATATTATAGTGACCCACATCGTGTATGTGTGCTGTACAGCTCATTTATCATGTAGTACCCTGCAGTTTCGCTGTTAACTTTTGTGCCCTCCCCTACTATTGGGGTCAAGCTTTAGGGTATTGAGGGGTTTCTGCTGCAAAATTCCTACTTATATGAATAGTTGCAGGTGAAAGGAATTCATTGACACTTAATGTATTGAAAATCTTGACCTATGGAGTGTGTAATAACTTTTTTGATCTCATGCTATGGTGTAATTACCACAAGAAATTATGTTTTACTCATGTACTGTTTTCATTATATGTTTGAAACTAAACATTCGGGGCACCAGGTCTGTTTGCCTGAACACACCAGGTTAAAGTTGGTTTTATTTTATATAGTTCCAAAGACTAAGGCAGCACTCTTCTTACAGATCCTGAAGGAGTCTCCAGGCAGGAAGCCCCTGGTGGCCATGGAGAGCAATCACCATTCCAGACGCTCTCTCAAGAGGGTTTCCTTTGCTGATACTAACACAATAAAGTGAGACTATGGTGATTTGTTTGTCCAGCTAATTGTGACTTTAGTAAACTTTTGGAAGTAAATTTTTTTTTTTCAAATGCTAGATGAATTTCCACTTGTGTAAATGTTCTAAACATAATGTCTTTATATACAGAGAATTTTTGGCCACAATGGGAGCAAGCACAGAGTGGAACAGCACATATGAGGCCCCTGCACCTCAAGACTCCTCTGCCTCCATGGATATCACTACACTTGGTCCTAAGTCTGATGGGTAAATGATTGAAATGCCTGTGATTTAACTAGCCTGCTTCAGTGTGTCATTCTTTAACACATGTATATTGATGCACATTGCAATTGTCTCATGTCTCCCGATTAAAGCAGCGTTCTGACTATAGTTTTTGCTCTTTCAGGTTGGACATGACTTTGGTTGCACAAGATGAGCAGGTAAGCTCTCTTGTCATTCATTTTACCATTTTGCTTTAGTTTACAGTTCTGAAAATTATTGGTTAAGTAACCTCAAAATGGGCAAATTTCCCCTTACCTTAATCTTGCATTACCCACCCTTCCATTCAAGGATCTAGTATTATGCCACCTGCCATTAAGGATTAAATCATTGGTTAAAGTGTGCCAAAACAGCTGATAGGGTCATGGAAATGGGTTTGTAAGTATTGATTATTTATGTGAGCTAGATTGGTGATGTGAAAAGCCTTTGAAAAAAACTATTTGATATTAATCTATGAAACTTTCCAGATCAATAGGCATTTGTATTGCCTAGAATGTGTGCACAACAATGAAATACATTGTGATATATCACAGTATCACTTATAGAAAATGACTGTATAAAGTGGATAGCTACCTTAATACTTACTGTTATACTTTTCTTTTTTGGCTGTGAATAGTCATTTGATATGAAGCATTTTGTATAAATCCCCTTAGATCATAGAATGTCACCCTGCCATTATAGCAGTGTAATGTACGATTGCAATTTAGTTACTTTTTCCCATTTATTCCCAAATCTTTCATATTTTCAAAGATATTTGCATGTTGTCACCTGCATCATAATGTAAAATATATACCTTGTCAGTCCCAAGTAAATCTGTTTGATTTTTTATTTTCTGTGAATATTATTTGATGAAATTTATTGAACAGAGATACAGCTTTTCAAAGCTATGACTGGTTTATCTGTCTTATTTCTTTCCTGATTTTAAAGATTTCTGTGTATCCAACTAAGGAACAGAGAGATTATGTACTGAAATAATCATCAATATATTCCAAGGAAAGAAAGAAGACGAGGGAAGGAGGTGGAGTTGGTGGTGAGAGTGTGGGCGTGTCATGTGCTTCTAGATACTGCACTTGATGTTTCTCTTCTTCTTGCGTATATTGCTTTAAAGTGTTGTGTTTGTGTCGTCTTTGATTTAATTTTCCTTCTTTCATTACGTATGGTGATTTTGGCAGTTTTCCTGCAATAAGAGTTGCCAAATGTAGTATAAATTTACTCCATACACAACCACATTTGATGAGATATTTCAGAGGAATATCACCTATATTCGACCTATATATTAATCCAAACTGTTAGAGGAATATCACCTATATTCTACCTATATATTAGGTCCAAACTGCCATGCCCCCAAAAGTGGGCCATAGACCCTCTGTCCCTTTTAAATGTCATACAACCATGTTCTGTCGCCAAAATTTTGCAGTGTGTGGAAATGATTTTTAAATAGTTGAGGAATATTATAATTGCTTGCTTGAAATGAGTGACTTTTCAACCCCAAGTGTTGCATTCTCACTTAATTCACTCTATTGGTTGTTTATCCATCCTCTGTCTTTCATTACTTAATGTAAGAAAAAGAAAATGTTTAGTTAACCTTCTGGCAGTCACATATTACAATTCATCTTCATGCCATCTATGATTAGTGAATTAAGTAACTTGTTTGGAAGCCTGACATGCCTGTTCCATGTTACAACTTTTTTTTTTTTGATAGGATGATGCTGGCACTGTGGATCAGAAAAACCTGCAGTTGGAGACTTCAACCTTTCTCAGCCAGTTCTTGAATATGAAGCCAAGCTCATCCTCAGCACCTGAAATACCATCTGAGAGGGAAGAACCTTGCTCTCAGTCCAAGGACAACCTGCACATGGAGACTTCTGCATTCCTGAATCAGTTCTTGAACATGAGTCCTGGTTCAGAAGCAACACAGGAGTCTAGATCAGGTCCCCAAGATGACCCTGGGCAGGACATGTTACTCTCCCAGTCACAAGATAACCTTTGTACGGATACTACAACCTTCCTCAGTCAGTTCTTGAACCTGCAACCTGGTTCATCAACAGAACAGACTGGTCATCCTAGCACATTCCAGGCTGCTCTGGCTGTGAATCCATCTGTTGGTGAGTAGTGTCAGCATTAAGCATTTTTTTTTCTGTGGCATTGTTACTGGTATGAAAAAATAATTACTGTCTGGGGTTTTGCTAGCCAGAAATAAATGATATAGTGAAGTTCAGGGTGGATGAGCTGTTGCCCTCCCCCTCTCCCTCCCCATCCCTCCCTCCCCCTTCCCCCCTCCCTCCCCCCCTTCCCCCTTCCCCCATCCCTCCCTCCCCCTTTCCAATCCCTCCCTCCCTCCCTCCCTCCCTCTATGGTCCTTGCTTCTTGTACCTTCATGACATTTTTATGAATTACCAACATAAATAAAAGGAAAGCTCTGAATGCATAGGATGCTACAGTTCTTATCACCGTATTCCCAGAGTGAGATAGGGAATTCCTTTCTTTACTTTCTTTAATTTGTTGTTAGGTTGTACCTCAAAAATATTACTGAGATAGTCATCACATAGATGGGCAATATCATTACTTGTCACATAATCATTCTTTCATGAACTGATATTAGTATAGATAAGTGACTGCTCCATAGAACACGTACTATGGATATTAATGAGAATAATGATTGCGTTTAATGTTGGCCCAGTTGATCAATTGATCAAATTACCAGGTGTGATTTTGTTGTAATCACAAAGAAAAATCCAGTTTTGCAACAACACATCCACCCTTCATCTAATATGTAGTCCTATTATAATATGAAATTTCATTAGCAGGTAAAACTGTGGTCCAGGGACATAGGCTGCCTCAGGATGATGTAACACAGATCAGTGCAGACATGGAAATGACATGTCCAGCCGGCCAAATGCCAAAATTCACAGGGAGTGATATGACGCAGAAAATCAGTGCAGACATGGAAATGACATGTCCAGCCGGCCAAATGCCAAAAATCACAGGCAGTGATATGACACAGAAGATCAGTGCAGACATGGAAATGACGTGTCCAGCCGGCCAAATGCCAAAATTCATAGGGAGTGATATGACACAGAAAATCACTGCAGACATGGAAATGACATGTCCAGCTGGCCAAATGCCAAAATTCACAGGGAGTGATATGACGCAGAAAATCAGTGCAGACATGGAAATGACGTGTCCAGCCGGCCAAATGCCAAAATTCACAGGCAGTGATATGACGCAGAAGATCAGTGCAGACATGGAAATGACGTGTCCAGCCGGCCAAATGCCAAAAATCACAGGGAGTTACATGACACAGAAGTTCACTGCAGACATAGAAATGACATGTCCAGCCGGCCAAATGCCAAAATTCACAGGCAGTGACATGACACAGAAGATCAGTGCAGACATGGAAATGACATGTCCAGCCGGCCAAATGCCAAAAATCACAGGGAGTGACATGACACAGAAAATCGCTGCAGACATGGAAATGACATGTCCAGCTGGCCAAATGCCAAAATTCACAGGGAGTGACATGACACAGAAGATCAGTGCAGACATGGAAATGACATGTCCAGCTGGCCAAATGCCAAAATTCACAGGGAGTGACATGCCACAGAAGATCAGTGCAGACATGGAAATGACATGTCCAGCCGGCCAAATGCCAAAATTCACAGGCAGTGACATGCCACAGAAGATCAGTGCAGACATGGAAATAACATGTCCAACCGGCCAAATGCCAAAATTCACAGGCAGTGACATGACACAGAAGATCAGTGCAGACATGGAAATGACATGTCCAGCCGGCCAAATGCCAAAAATCACAGGCAGTGACATGCCACAGAAGATCAGTGCAGACATGGAAATGACATGTCCAGCCGGCCAAATGCCAAAATTCACAGGCAGTGACATGCCACAGAAGATCAGTGCAGACATGGAAATGACATGTCCAGCTGGCCAAATGCCAAAATTCACAGGCAGTGACATGCCACAGAAGATCAGTGCAGACATGGAAATGACATGTCCAGCCGGCCAAATGCCAAAATTCACAGGGAGTGACATGACACAGAAAATTACTGCAGACATGGAAATGACATGTCCAGCCGGCCAAATGCCAAAATTCACAGGGAGTGACATGCCACAGAAGATCAGTGCAGACATGGAAATGACATGTCCAGCCGGCCAAATGCCAAAATTCACAGACAGTGACATGACACAGAAAATCACTGCAGACATGGAAATGACATGTCCAGCCGGCCAAATGCCAAAATTCACAGGGAGTGATATGACACAGAAGATCAGTGCAGACATGGAAATGACATGTCCAGCTGGCCAAATGCCAAAATTCACAGGCAGTGACATGCCACAGAAGATCACTGCAGACATGGAAATGACATGTCCAGACTAATGCCAAAATTCACAGGCAGTGACATGCCACAGAAGATCACTGCAGACATGGAAATGACATGTCCAGCTGGTCAAATGCCAAAATTCACAGGCAGTGACATGACACAGAAAATCACTGCAGACATGGAAATGACATGTCCAGCTGGACTAATGCCAAAATTCACAGGGAGTGACATGCCACAGAAGATCAGTGCAGACATGGAAATGACATGTCCAGCCGGCCAAATGCCAAAATTCACAGGCAGTGACATGACACAGAAGATCAGTGCAGACATGGAAATGACGTGTCCAGCCGGCCAAATGCCAAAATTCACAGGCAGTGACATGACACAGAAAATAACTGCAGACATGGAAATGACATGTCCAGCCGGCCAAATGCCAAAATTCACAGGGAGTGACATGCCACAGAAGATCAGTGCAGACATGGAAATGACATGTCCAGCTGGCCAAATGCCAGAATTCACAGGCAGTGACATGCCACAGAAGATCAGTGCAGACATGGAAATGACATGTCCAGCTGGCCAAATGCCAAAATTCACAGGCAGTGACATGACACAGAAGATCAGTGCAGACATGGAAATGACATGTCCAGCTGGCCAAATGCCAAAATTCACAGGGAGTGACATGACACAGAAGATCAGTGCAGACATGGAAATGACATGTCCAGCTTCCACAGCAGTGACATGACACAGAAGATCAGTGCAGACATGGAAATGACATGTCCAGCTGGCCGAATGCCAAAATTCACAGGCAGTGACATGACACAGAAGATCACTGAAGACATGGAAATGAAGTGTCCAGCCAGCCAAATGCCAAAATTCACAGGGAGTGACATGCCACAGAAGATCAGTGCAGACATGGAAATGACATGTCCAGCCGGCCAAATGCCAGAATTCACAGGCAGTGACATGACGCAGAAAATCAGCCCTGACATGGAAATGACGTGTCCAGCCGGCCAAATGCCAAAAATCACAGGGAGTGATATGACGCTGAAGATCAGTGCAGACATGGAAATGACGTGTCCAGCAAAATGCCAAAATTTACAGGGAGTGACATGACGCAGAAGATCAGTGCAGACATGGAAATGACGTGTCCAGCCGGCCAAATGCCAAAATTCACAGGGAGTGACATGACGCAGAAGATCAGTGCAGACATGGAAATGACGTGTCCAGCCGGCCAAATGCCAAAATTCACAGGGAGTGACATGATGCAGAAAATCAGCCCCAACATGGAAATAACGTGTCCAGCCGGCCAAATGCCAAAAATCACAGGGAGTGATATGACACAGAAGATCAGTGCAGACATGGAAATGACGTGTCCAGCCGGCCAAATGCCAAAATTCACAGGCAGTGATATGACAGATCAGTGCAGACATGGAAATAACGTGTCCAGCCGGCCAAATGCCAAAAATCACAGGCAGTGATATGACACAGAAGATCAGTGCAGACATGGAAATGATGTGTCCAGCCGGCCAAATGCCAAAATTCACAGGCAGTGATATGACGCAGAAGATCAGTGCAGACATGGAAATGACGTGTCCAGCCGGCCAAATGCCAAAAATCACAGGCAGTGATATGACACAGAAGATCAGTGCAGACATGGAAATGATGAGTCCAGCAAGTCAGATCCCTAAGTCAACATACAGTGATATGACACAAAAGACTGATACAGACATGGAAATTACTTGTCCTGCAGAGCAGATCCTGAAGATACCAGGCAGCAATGAAATGACTCAAAAGCTCTTATCAGACATGGAAATGACTTGTCCTGCTGGCCAGATTCCCAAACTGAACAGAAATGAAACATTTCAAATGGCAAGCCTTGGCTCTGAATTAACAGGGCCAGCAGTGAACAAGAAGCGCCGAAAGAGCATACTTCGGACGGCTACATCCTCACATGAAGCAGAAGCTAGCATGCCAAAGGAAGAGAGGACTGTGATGTTTAACTTGGACCCACAATTCCACTGCAGCCTAATCAGTAATGCTGAAGAAAATAATGACAGACAGATGAGTGAAGGTAAACAGGTGTTGGGAGACAGCCAGGGTGATGCTCAGCAGGGCTCTCTTGTTGGTGAATCTCAGAAAGTAGAGAAACGGCTAGTGTTGCAGTCTTTCCTTGAGGTTCCAGTGAGGGAAGGAGACTCCCATGAAAAACAAGGGGAGGAACAGCAAACAAATGCTTTACGAACAATGAAAAATGTTGAATGTAATGAAGGAAATGAGAATGCTGGGAATTTTACTAAAGGAAGTGGCAAAAGGCTGCAAGGAGTGTCACCAGATGAGTCCTCTCTCAAAGTGTTTCTTAGTGAGGAAGGACCCAAATGTTCTTTGTCTGTAATTTCTGCTGTTGGCCAAGTGGATGAGGATAACAAGACCCAGAATATCACCTCAGATATGAATGTGACATGCTCAGAAGGAGCTTCCAAGATAAATCATGTCGAGGTGACTGCCTGTCCTGCAGGTCAAACATCTGAGGTGACTGGTGATGTGACCAAAGAGGAACAGTTTGATCAAGGACTCAATAAAGAACATAATAAAGAAATGCAGTCCATCTCTAATGGTGAATCTGTCACATTGGATGAGTCACTGGATGGCATCAACCTTGTTATGGAGAACTCTGGTGACAATGCAGAGACATGGCTGCACTCAGAACCTGCACTGAAAGAAAAGCCTCTGGAGAGTTCCTACTGTGTGTCAGAGATGAAGCAACAGTCTCAGAGTCGCAGAAAGTCTCTAGCTGCTGATGCCATGGACTCTGTCTTGCCATTAATGAGCTCTTTTATGGAACGTATATCAATGATGAATCATGAACAATCTCAGTTAGAGGAAACAATTTTGAAGGAGATGACACTAGTTGAGGAGCAAGGGAAGGAGGTGACATTGTCAGCAGAGCACACTAAGGTAATGTTACATTCAGTGGAAGGTGAACTGGAAGATATGAGGACAACTTCAGTTTGCAATGAAGTTCATGATCCAGTAGAAATGCAGAACTCACACATTAATAATAGCATACAGGGGTATCAAACCACTCTTGACGATAGTGAAGGAACAGGAACCGTGAAACTTCACCTCACCAGCCTGGAGCCTACAGCTACAGCAATGACTGTAAAGGATATACCACAGACACTTGGTATGGCTGATACCAGTGTTAAAGAAACGAAAAACATCTTGGTTGAAGAGGACTGTCTGAAGACAACCAGGAGTACTGAAAGTCATGAGAATTCATTGACAGAAAGAATGAATGAGAACAGCATGCAATTAGACAGTGATCCTGGAAATGCTGAAGAAAAGAAGAGAGTGCATGATACATATATGGCTGAGGAAAAAGAATCAGAAATGGTGACAGAAGAAACTACAGAAGTGTCCTCATACCCTAGTAGTTGTGATGTCAGACCCACCACAGTTAAGAGATCTGCTCCCTCTGAGACCATGGCCCAGAGTATCTTGACAGTGTCCTTGGAAAACAGTGCACTGCAGATCAACAGCAGTTTAATTCAGCAGTGTAACATGTCAGTATCACAAAACTTGACTCATGACAACACCAGCTTGCAGTGTGAGCGCTGTTGTTCTACAGAGGGTTGCATTGTCTTCCAGTCCAAGTAAGTATTTTAAAACTATTCACTTTGATATTTTTTTTCTGGGTTTATATATTGGAAATCTTAAACATTGCTTAATGTGATATATTAGTTCTAGAAATTTCCTTTTAGTAATAATGTAGAAATAATTTGTTTATGTAGTCTTTCATGGATAAAAAATATGCACAATTGCTTTCCTGTTGAATTATTTTTATAGGCTTTATTTTGTAACTGACAAGAAAATGTATTAGTTTGGATAATTGATCTCACTTATATTGACACTGAACAACCAAAGCTAGAAAGTATCTTAATCATTACCTAATCTTGCCATTTCTTTTCTGATTTATTACAACCTTGCCTATGCATTCTAACATTTACCATGACGTACCTTTGTAACATACAAATTTGTCCTGATTACTCGTTTTGTAATGTGTGTATGTTAACTGGTGCGGTGCAGTAGTCTTGAAGTTCATATAATGATGCAAGCTTTCTCTGCAGAAATGCTGTATGGACTGTGAGCAAAGTTTACAACGGGGGCAGATGTTTGTCGCTGAAGCACACACCGCTGGAATTAGACCTGCAGCTGTCTCAGTGTGACAACCACTGGACGATTGTTACAGCTTTGTGGAAACCTCAGACCTCTGGTTAGTATGCTCTATCATTGAATAAAAGCAAGTGCTTTTATCATTGTCTTTTTTTTAGACTTACACACTTTCTTTTTTTTTTTTTTTTTTTTTTCTTTTTTTACTGGTCACTTAGATTTTGGTTATAAGTTTCTGTACCGTACTTTTTCCAAATTTAGAGTATAACTGATATATATGTAGAAAACTTGCTGTGTAACAAGGAAAGTATTAGTGGTTGACATTCTTTTCCCAGCCAGTTTAAATTCCTTCTCTATGACATATAATTATTGTATTGATGCACAGAAATACAGAACAAATGTGGGCGTCTAGTGATGAGTGTACTAGGGTGCCGTGTGGGAGCAGCTGTCACCAGATTAAGTGGACTGGTATTCTGTGAAGCCAAGGAAGCCCTGGCACATGTAGTTACAGCTTTCAACAATGTGGTTGACCTCATTCTGGAAATGAAAATCTTAGCAGCATTGCACCTCACCTCTTTTGAGTCAGACAGGTTGGTAATATATTCTGTAAAGTTGGAAAGTCTGTGCTACAATGTTTGATATGATAAATTTGTATGGATATAATGCAGAAACAAGTACATCATGTATACATACGTACATAAGCATGAATATATATACATGATCACGTGCATTTACATCTATTACTTTCCTTAATAATGTATACATGCAAATTCATATATTTACAAACTCCATATTTTGTGATAAAAAGTGCAAAAGGTTTAGTGCACATTCAAAATACAATAATCTTAAAAAGTCATACATATATAATTTGATACTAAAATACTGCAAGTTGGGAGTTCAATAATTTTTTATATTTTAGACTGATTGACTACAAGTTCCTCCCAAAAAGAACCTATGGGTGATTACAGAGGGTATTGAAGGCCTTTAATATGCCTATGGATGGAAACAGACAATTAGAAAAGCTATATCCAAATGGTTAAGGTATTTGAGCAAAGACAGTGGAAAAGCAGGTTTTATTTTATTTGAATAGGAATTCAGCTTTCATAAAATTTCCAGTGTGAAGGTAACGCTGTTCAACCTGAATGCTCATGTGAGTGTTGATGTGACAGTCCGTGTGCATCCTCCAGAGGAGGCACCTGAGCATCCCTACACACTGCAGCCAGCTGCCAAAGTCACCATTGGGAACCTTAGGTATGCTGTCTTTTCCCTCTTCCCTATTCTGAAATTGGTACAGATGCACACACATACTCAGATGTGTAAGTTTGAATGTTATGAATGTAATTATGCTTTGCTTTTCAAAGTGAAAATCTTGATGTTTCTGTCATTTTGGGAAACTGAGGGAAATAATGACTGGAATATCCATGTGTATATATTTTTTCATGCTTTTTAGCATTTTGGCAATTTATTAATAGAAGTCTTATCTATAGATGCCAGACACTAGATGAAGCTATGAGTGAAGTCAGCTCTGGTCCACGGCAGCTTCTGAGGCTCATCCAGGCAGCCAACTCCATTGTCCGGAATATGTCTTGCTGACTCCCTTGAATGCTAAGAGCTTTTTAAAGTGAGCAATAGACTTGCACCCAGATCATGTTCTGTTTTCATATTTTAAGCAATCATCCCATAGAACTATATTTATATATCTGAAGTGAAATAGCTACATGAACCTCCAGGAATAAGAAATGCTTAATAAAAGTTTTAAGTATTTTATCGCATACATTTTCTAACATAAAAAAACAGAAATACATTTTGTTACCTTGTTATTGTGTGCCTAAAAGGTAATAAAACAATGCTTATATGTAAATATGATGTAAGTATCTGAAGATTTTCAGAATTTTGAAGACTAGTTGTAGATACATTTATTCTGTGAACAAGAATTTGATGTAAATCCTCCTTTTGATTTTTATGTATTCGGAAATATATTTTCAAAAGAGGAATGCAGAAAAAATATTTTAACTTCTGAAGGTCCTGGTATTTACTTTTCTGGAAAGGACTTTATTTTTATTGATATATGTGTTCATTCTTGAAATATCTGTCCACTTTTATGTTTTAAACTAAAATGCAATAAAAAGTGCAAATATGTTATCTTTAAATATGCCTAGAATACATTATTTTTATGAAGTGCTATGTCCATAAATATCAAAAAGACAGAAACATTTTTTCTGACATTTTGAAAGGCAGTATAATTCAATGCCCCTGGGAAATGCTGTGTTCAATTTAGTATTTTTATTAAATGTCTGCACATAGATGACTCTGCCAGTGCTTAGCCACAAAGGAGCCACCTAATTTCACCTTTCCTTGAGTTTGAGGGAAAATGTTTTTTTTACTAATGCTATCAATAATGATACTGCTCTTTTTAATATAAACATCATAATTGCTATAATGTTATTTAAATTTCTAACAGCAGCATTAAATACAAGAAAATATGATCAAAGATAAAGGAAAAAGGTCAATAGTTAAGACAGGTAGTTCTTGTAATTGGCTTATGGGTGACTTAGTACTTGTGGAGCCATCTGTATGTAAAAACAATTCTAAA